TACACACACACACACACACAAACTAAATTAAAGGTATAATTTTTTAACATATTTAAATATCTAAACTAATATTTATATTAACAAAATATAATATAATATATAACAACATATTATTTTATTTTCATAACAGTAATTTTATATCTCGGCTCACTCACATTGTACTTCCAGGTACTTCTGCGTCTGGAAGTCCTTGACCGCTGGATGGTCGACAATGCAAACCACAGGAACTCCATCATCCTCTCTCATGACGGTAAGCCTCAGCCAGCTAGTCACAGTGAACATCCTGTCATACGTGGCCTCCACTTTAGATTTGCCTGTGAGAGACAGAAACCAATCAGAGACATAGAATTGAAAACAAATCGCTTTCATTATCATTTCTGTCAAGAAACCATGGGTGGCTAAATGTACTGAAGGCCACAGTATTCTTTACATCTTGTGAGCCAATTAACAAAGTAGATCCCCTAATGACTTGCACATATGTGACATATGGAGGCTCACTGTAGCTTATCGATGACATGTGTACAGTAAACGCCCCCCTGCAGCTTCACCTAAATTGTGACCATATGAGAGGGGACATGTGGCTTAAAAACAGCCCCAAATCACTTCCTTTCGAGGCTTGTTATGCAGCTGTCACTCATTGGCAACTGTGTGGGCTGTGATGGTGTGTTTGTGCTTTATGAAGTGAGCTATAATGGCTGTAGTGGATGCCTCTGACCCGCAGCCCTCCTTCAGCAGCATCAAGTGGGCATGAAGAACACAAAAGACTCAGAATCATTGTGTGGCTCTAGACAATAGCCTCGCAGCACCGCATAGACCTCCATCACTCAATTACTGCTCTGGCCTTGTGGAGAGAAACAGGTGTGGGTGGAAAGAGGGAAAGGAGGAGACACGGGGTGAGTGAGAACGTAAGAGAGAGAGGACCTATTGTCCTGTTTGTGTTTTTGTAAAGAAAAAAAATCCACTTGACCATTAAAAAAATGAATTAGATGTTGTAGCGACAGGCTAAAAGAAAAGAAACAGAAAAATGTGAGTTTGATGGAAGGTACCACCAATGTCAATTTATTATAAATAGAATATAAATATAAAATTATATTTATAAATAAATATAAATAAAAAAAATCATTTATTCGCCCTCATATTGTTCCAAACCTGTATGACTTAATTTATTTTGTGGAACATAATAGAATATATTTTTGTACATAAAAAGCTGTTTTGGACCCCATTCAATTTCATCACATGGATAAAACCAGTTCTTCATTCTTTAAAATACTGTAGCTTTTACTTGAGACGGTTTGGAACGACATGGTGGTGGATAAATCATTAAAAAAAATTGTTTTCTATGAACTATCCCTTTAATCAATTTTAATATAGTTTAAATCACGTTTTAAACTATATTAAAAATGAAAACAGTTTTTTTTTTTGATTGATTGATAACATTGATAACTAGAGCTGTGTTATCAATGTTATCAATAACACATAATGCTAAATTTACCATAAATCATAAAAATGCCCGGGAATTTGAACTACTGTGTGAAAATCTGGACATCTCAATACTCCAGACCATTTTTTTTTCTGACAATTCCTTGTCTTGAGCATTCATTCGTTCTGCATTCAGCATTATCAGCAGTGAATGGATATTCAGACAATCATATCTCAGAAAAATGAAGACACAGAGCTCATTGAGATCCCAGAGGCACGTCTACATTCTCCCTTACAATGCCACAGTCACTGCTGATAAAGAGATAATCACAGGTCAATCACTGTCATTCAGACATTTCTTCATTTCAATAACATCTCCCTTTTTGAAATGCAAAGGAGCTCTGATTAGTCCCGATCTGCAGCGATACAGTGGGCTGAATATCAAAAGACATCCTGTCCCTATTGAATTCACGGTTTCTTCACATTTTTCGCTCTCTTTAATTCGCCCTCCCCTTTTTTCCCTATTATCCAACACCTTCCAATGGAAAGTCACTCCCTGGAAGAGGGCAGTCTGGAGATCTGGGGCCAAATGAGTATTTAGCAAACTTCCTTAGAGCCATTAAAATGTTTGAATCGTGCCATTGTGTTTCAGCTGAGCTTAGTGGGCTAATTGAAATGAGATTATATTTTTAAGCAATGACACAATGTGCAGGCCAGACGTGTTCTGACAGGAGGAAAATAACAACTCATTGTTTCCCGACGTTCATTCAGCTAGACTTATGAGACAGGTGTGTGTCAACAATGGAGCAGGATGTAAAACAGATGTACTAAACGCAGCACAAAACATGGATAAGACTGGGAAGGTTGTGCATGTGTGAGTGTGAGGGGAGAATGAGGTGGTACATCATGGGGGCGGCTGAGTTTACATTCCGGGGCTGTATGGGTATAACCTTTAAATGATATTTAAAAAAGCCTGATTATCCTAGAGGTAATTAGGCTCAATGATGAGGACATTTAATTAAAAATAAATCCGAAGGCGCAGGGGCCAAAAGCAATTTCCAACCAGTGAGTGCCGGCGTTGCACCGCCTGTGTCAGGAAAGGGGTCCCTCGCATTCTTCAATCGCTTTCTCTTCCTCCATTCAAACCATTCCATTATACAAGAACAGAATATTCATGTCCTGCTGTCCATCTCACTGAGGCAAACTCGTTCATCTTTAGCGTTACAACTGTCCAACTGTCCAATAATATATTGATGTTACATAAAAACAAAACACCCAGTGACAAATGAACAGAACAACGCTGTATAATAGCTGCCGAAACTCCCAGTGGAGAGAAACGGAGACCCCTGACTGAGCTTATCGCTAATTACCAAAAGAATACATCCATCCAGGACTACAATTTAGCCGTCTCATTTTGGCTAGCTGTTATTAGGACAGCTTATATGCAGTAATTTGTACATATGCAAATTGCCTGTGTCTAGACGGCTGTGGGTTAAAGGTACGGCCTCTCGCTCACCCATACGGAGCCATGATGGAAAATGAGCCAAGCTTCTGTGAGGAGTATTCAGGTAAGCAGAAGATGAAAAGGAGGTGGTGACTTATGACTTTTATGAAAATATCACAAGACTTCCCAAGATCAACTTTACTCAACAGATTGTAGAGAAGAGGTATATCAAATGATACATTTACACACTACCGATCAAAAGTTTGGACACACTTGAATGAACGTGTATTTTTCATGAATTGATTAATAAAACTAAACGGAATTATAAATGGACAGGTTGACAAGTTTAAAAAAGGTCAAAAAATATATTTAAAAAAACTGATTTCACAATTTGTCAATACATAGTTTTCATACTACCATTTCATTCATTTCATGGTCTTAATGACCCTTATTCTAATGTGGAATGTGGAAAATAGGACCAAAAAAAAACTATTTACTAAATACTATAAAATTTACTATTCAAAAGTTTTGGGTTGTTAAGATTATCTTGTGCTTACCAGGGCTGCATTTATTTGAATAAAAATACAGTAAAAATGGTAATAATGTGAAATATTATCACAATTTAAAATGACTGTTTTCTATTTTAATATGTGATGGCAATGCTACTACCACAATCTTCAGTGTTACATGATCCTTCAGAAATCCTTCTAATATGCTGATATTATTATTAGTGTTGAAAACAGTTGTGCTGCTTAATACTTTTGTGAGAACCGTGATGTTTCTTTTCAGGATTCATTGATAATAATTTATATAAAATAACTTTTGTTTTGTACATTATAAATGTCTTTCCTGTCACTTTTGATTAATTTAATGTGTCTTTGCTGAATAAAATCAATTTCTTAAAAAAATAAAATAAAATACTGTTCCCAAACTTTTAAATGGTAGTCTACATTAATTACCTGCAAAGCATTATATAAATGTAACAATGTTTGTTTCTGGTATTAATGAAAGTTGTTATTAAAGGGTTACTCCACCCCAAAATGAAAATTTTGTCATTAATCACTTACCCCCATGTCGTTCCAAACCCGTAAAAGCTTTGTTCATCTTCGGAACACAATTTAAGATATTTTGGATGAAAACTGGGAGGCTTGTGACTGTCCCATTGACTGCCAAGTAAATAACATTGTCAAGGCCCAGAAAAGTATGAAAGACAT